CGCACCAACATCAATGACATCGAATAAATATAGCTACTTTTTTTCAACAAAAAAAAGAGAAAAAACACTCATAAATAATTCTATTATATTTTATTTATTATTTTGTATATTTGTATTTGTGTAGACAACTAAATTTTTAAAATATAAATATATATTTATATGTCTTTATATATATAAACTATTGTTTTGTTATTGATGAAAAAGACAAAAAAATCAACGGCTTGTCACAATTAGCGCGAAGAAAAACAAAAACGAATGAAAAGAAAAAACAGATGAAGATAAACTTTCTCACACACACACACACGGAGAGAGGAAGAGAGAGTTAAAAAAAAAAAGAAAGCTGTTTATTCATTTTTCTTTACATTTATATGTATGTGTGTGTGTGAGTGTGTGTGTAGAAAATTTGTTTTAAACGATAGAATCAACGGTAAAAGTCACCTGGAATTCAATTCTGATTCATACATAAATATAAATATATAGATAGATAGATAGATAGAGAAATGGGATCAAAGTACTTCCTGTTAGGGTAGGTAAGTGAAAAACACACTGGCATAACACTCCCACCGCCGTACATTCATACATACTAACATACGTACATATAGCAACGAAGTGATGAAACGGGGTAAAAAAGAAAAGACAGCACAAATAACTAGACTGTAAGAGTAAAAATAACCGGTGATTATTATTAAATTACCTGAGCGAAAGAGATGGATGTATGTGTGTGTATGTGTTGTGGTTGCAAATGACAACAAAGTCACTGTTTTATGAAACTGAAGATGGATGAGAGTGAAAAAGATATACATATGCATATATATATATATATATATATATATATATATATATATATATATATATATATATATATATACCTACACGCGTCTTACTTCCTAAAATAATAATAATAATAATAATCATAAGAATATTACATAATCATTAATTGCAAACAAATGAATAAAGCACACACAGAATTCAAAGTGTACAAGTGAGTGAGTGAGAGAGACAAACAGAGTGAAAAAAGAACACCAACAATGTGTACAACGTGTACAACATCATTTTTGCAACTCTCTCTACCTATACAAAAACAACTACCTGATTGATTGGCTTAAAAAAGAAAAGAAAACCATGATTGGCGCATTTTTCAAGTTGAGAATTTTAAATGAAAACAACAACTAAAACAAGAAGAAAGGAATCATATAATCAGGCACAAAATGGTCAAAAATTGTGTGTGTGTGTGAGTGTAATGGTAACATGATGATAGTACGCACATATCCAATGTGAACACGTGTACAACACTCTCCAAAAGAGACAAGAAACTCGAGAATAAGACACACAGACACAGACACACACACACAGAGAGGGAACGTGTGGAACGGAACAAACCATAGTCACTCGAACACGAAATCGATCAATATGAAATGAAAATATACGCAGTGGTGAATTCGACAGTTGGAAAAAAAAACATTAATAATAGTAATAATAATGGCAATAAAATAAAACAAAATAAAAAGGCGCTATAATATAAATCGACCAATTAAAAAAAAGTACAGATAATTGATCATCAATTAATTTATATAACAATATAACAACAAATCGGTGCAGAAATAAAGAAATGAGAAACATAATATACTACTAACTAACTACTACTACTATTACTCCTCCCACATGAGATTGGATGATAGACGAAACAACAGAATAGTAAAAAAGGAAAAAAAATTGGCATTTCTATCGTCTATCCAAATTGCATTACATAATCATCATCATCAATCGTCTGATCGATTTGGATCACACACACAAGCAACACCAGAGAGAGAGAGAGACAGAAAGATGAAAACATACATACATGGAAGAAATTTAAAAAAAATATCACCCCAAAACAAACAGAAAAAAAATAGAAATGCATCCCTTCATCGATGATGCTTAGAAAGAGAGAAAAAAAAGTATAAACAAAAAGAAATTTTCTCAATTTAAAAAAAAAAATTGGCGCATTTATTACATTGGACATTGAAATTTTTTTTAATTCATTCGTCGTGAATGGTGGCGCGCATCTTTCTGTGTGTGTTTGTGTGAGTGAGTACAAACAGAGAGAGAGAGCGGTTGGCGCTTTAGTAATAATAAAAAAAAGAGGAGAACTGAAAATGATACGCCCTGAAGCCGGAAAATAATTTTAAAAAAAACGAGAATGATGACAATGCAAGTGACATCATACGTGTACATAGAGGAAAACCCATTGAAATTTTTTGATAAAATGTGAAGAGTTATTGAAAGGGGATGATGAATGGAAAAGCCAAAAAACCAGACTGTTTGTTTCCCTGCTAAATTCAAATTTTCGCATCATAAATCATGTAGTAGAGTTATTATATAGTTTGATGAACAATGTTTGTTTTTTTTCAACTCAAATTGTAATCATTGACAAAATGAGGTAGAGCCAATTATCAATTAGTGCCGATGATGTCATAAAGGGGAAAGAAAGAAAAAAAAAGGAATACAAACATTATGTATTTTTATAATTCCCTGCCGTGAATAAAGAAATATTATGTGTTTCACATATAGAGTCAATGGTAAGTAGGGAAAAAAATTGAAATTTGATAAGAGAGAGAAACAGCAGTAACATGAAACAAGTGAAAATGACTTGACATGAAAGAATAAACGGACGAAAACACCACATTGATGAGTAGTGTGTGTGTGTGTGTGTGTGTGTTAAAAAAGATCTAACACGACATGATTGATTTCATTCACCTGAATTAATTGATGATCAGCCCTGATGTGAAGAATTGTGAAGTTGAGGAAAAGACTGACAAGTTTACTTTACAATTAATTTAGAAAGCAGAACATACCCCACCTGAGTACTTCTTCTATTAACAACATGTCATTATTGGTTATCAAAATAATAATAATAATAATGATATACATACTGAGCATAGCAGAACAAATATACCTGTCAGTGTTTTGCGGTCAAGGGATGCGCACAACATTTACACATACACACACACACACTTAAGTAAAAGATAGAGGAGACAAAAATCCAAAACATTGCAAAAGAATTGTATGTGCGTCAAAGTGCACTCGGGCACTACCAACATGAATTGAAGAGAAGTCACATATTATCATCATTCGTTTAAATGAAGTGTTGTTATTAGTGTGAAGCTAGCTTAACAGTGAAGAGACAACTTTATGCAATCGAGTAGTCTGTATATGCACGCGTGTGTGTGTGTGTAGGCCCCTCCTCACTCACTAAAAATCACACGTCGATCGACGTTATTTTATCCATTAAGAAAATAAGTTGATAGATAACACAAAATCGGAGAATAATGTGTAAAACACATGTGTGTGTGTGTGACAGTGTGAATAAGAGAAGATTTAGATAATGAGAGATGAATTATAATAACGATAATAATAAGATCGAGGTAATACAGATAGATTTAAAGATCAAATGTAGTATAAAATACTCCATGAGATAGATATACATTAACCAATGATAATAATAATAATAATAATAATAATAATAATAATATTATTAATAATAAGTAGTATTATCATGAGTAATATATATATATATAACCGTAGTAGTAAAAGTTCAATTTTTCCCTGAGACAAAATGACATATATACTAATTAGTTAGTGAAGTAGGAAAAAAAACAGAAAATACAAATTGACAAGTGTACTACTACTACTACTGTAGTACTACGACGCCATAAACACACACACACACACACGAATGTTAAAAAGACAAACAGTTTGGAATTGAAAAATTTCAAACATTTAAAACAAGCATGCACTCACTACACACACAAATTGAATATTGAACAAAGAGTGGAACAATCATTTTTTTTTCTTGTTCAAGAAATAAGAAAAAACACAGGACAAGAAAGAAATGAGAGAGAAGAACCTGACAAGAACTGGCCAACAAGCCACACACAACAATAAAACCCCAGAGAGAGAAAAACAAGAAAAATTTGAAAATTTGAGGAAAAAAACACCACGTTGTACAAATTGTAACGCTGCGTAGTTAGTTGAATTACTGAATTACTGAATATCCGTTAGAATGTCAATAAATAACATCTCTCCTTTGTACTTGTACTTGCACAGACACACACACACACAGTCAAAAAAATGTTAGAGGCGCTGTAGAGAGAGAAAATAAACACACTTTTCAGCAAATTAAAACAAAATAATAAGTTCAATAGTAAAATATATATATATATATATATCAATAAAAAATGAGTGAGTAAATAAATCAGTTAAATAAATAAACTGAAGAAAAAATAATAATAATTAATAATAATAATAACCTGAGTGACAACGACGGCAACACCAACAACAACAATAAAGGAGGAGAGAGTAAAACACAAGTAAGATTTGGCGTTATTATTATACACGTCAGAGTTGGTGTGTGTGTGTGTGTGTACAAAAAAACGTTTGAATCCTTCTTCATGCACACACACACACAGGGAAAGAGACGGAGAGAAACGTAGAGAGGGCAAGTTTATCTGCAACCAACAATCAATCATTGAGGTACAGCGAGAATACAAAATGACCACCACCGCCAAAACACAACACACACACCCCACGAGAGACCACTGGGTTTCACAATATATAATATTCAGTATTGTTTGTATATGCATAGTGTTGCCTAAACGAATTCAATGTGTGTGTGTTTATTTGTTTTGTTTTTCTTTTTCAAAAAAAAAATGGCGCGCAAAAAAAACAGCATAGAAAAACAAAACAGTCGATCGATAAATGGACGATATTAACAATAATAGTAATAATAATAATAATCATAATAATAATTCATCCAAAAAGAAGATTTCAAAAGATAATATTCCATTGTATTTCATTACATAACATTTTGTTTTGTTTTTTTTCAGAAAAAAAAAGAAAATGAAATGTCATCTCACATTCATCATCTGTGTGTGTGTGTAGATATATGTATAACATAAGGAGGAGGAGGGGACAAAAACAGGACTGAGTGAAGTGAGTGAGTGAGTGAATGAGTGTGAACATCAAGAATGTGGCTGCTGCTGATGTTGATGATGATGAGGATGCAACTGATGAGTAGGAAATAAAAAAGACGATGATACATTGATAGGAGTAGGAGTAGGAGTGGTGATAAAAGCAATGGTATTGTTATTATTGTCCAAATGATGATGATGATGATGATGTTGATGATTGACATCATCGTTTTTTGGTCGTTTCTGACATGAACGAAGACTACTACTACTATTATTATTATTATTATTATTATTATTATTATTATTATTATTATTATTAGCTGATGATGACAATGACGCCGACGCCGGCGATGACGATGTGTCAACAAGCATAGTTGTTGAACCGGTCGAGGACAATTGAGAAAATGCACATGTTGATGATGATAATTGACAATTATTAGGTAGTGATTGAAGTAGTAGTGATTGATTACTGTGAGTATTATTTTGACATGTGGATGTTTGTTCAGTGAATGCGACAACTGCTGCAGCAGCTGCCGCGGCCGCTGCTGGGACAGATAGAGCAGCAAGTCGACCGGCATCCCATCGATCAACTGATAGAATAAAATTATTATTATTACTAGTGATTGGTGGCTCAGTTGATTTATTCACATTCAAATAAGACTGATTATTATTGGTGTCGCAGTTGGCGTTGTTCAAGGATGCATTGGATGTTGTTAATTGAGAATTTTGAAATGATACCAATGACGAGTGGAGTACACCAGAACAAGCTAATGTAACAGCTTGAGCCGATGCTGAGAATAAAGCGGATGCACTATCAGCTAATTGGAACATTTCCACATATAATTCAGGGAATCGGAGGTCCGATCGTAGAACCTAATAGAAAAAACAAAACAAAATCAGAATATAGTGAATATAGACGAGATACAAATGTGAGAATCTCTGCACTATATATTCAAATTGATCTAGGGTATTGCGTTTAAACACATACAATTGCCCCCCCCCCCTTTGCCCGAATTTAAATAAAACAATCATAATGATTAAAATAATAATAATAATAATAATAATTGAAATTATGGATTTACCATTGTGAGACTACTACTATTAGGAACTTGGAAGTACACCGGATTGATATCAAGTCCTAGAATGGGACTCATCAGTGTGGCAGCGCGCATCCACGACTCTCGCCCGAGGGAATCCAACTGAGGACCTATGGGGTTTCGCGCGCGAACGCTCAACCTGAGTCGGAACACAACACGCAAGACCGAAGGTTACAGGAGGATTCCTGTGAGTCAGTGTCATGGATAAGCACTGCCAGTGATGAGAACCATACTAGAACTTGACAGCCGTCCAATGTTTTCAAGTTTCCAATGGTGATGTCTAAAAATGATCAATTCATCAGTCAGTCAGTTGCAACGTAGAACTACATACGTATGTACATAAGTTGATGTTGCCATACCACATTAGCACAAAGACGCAAATGTCAAATCAAATCCCATAGTGATAAAGATAGAAGAGGTATTAATGGTAATGAGGAAGACTAGGGTTCGAAGATATTATTCAAGAAGTATAATTAAGTGAAATAAGGTCAGAAAGACAAATAGAACTTTGTCATCGGTATATTCTAGATCAGTAAGCGAATTTCCTGGTAGATGTTCAACCCCTGAGAAATCTGACGAGCTTAATGTTAACTCTAAGAGGATGTCTACGACAAAGTTAAACAAGAATGGAGAGAGTGGACAACCCTGACGGACACCACTTGATATAGAGAATTCAGATGACAGTTCGCCATATGCTCTCACCCGACCAGTAGTGTTCAAGTAGAGAGCTTGTATAAGGTTAATGTACTTCTTTGGTACACCTTTCAATGACAGACACTGCCACTGAACCTTACGATCCACTGAGTCGAATGCCGCTTTTAGGTTCAGGAACACGACTATTGTCGGACGTCTAAATGTGTGTCTGTGTTCCAGGACCTGTTGTAGTGTGAAGATGTGGTCTATACAACCACGTCCAGGTCGAAAACCAGCATGGTTTTCTCTAGTCTGCTCTTCACGAGCTCTAGTTAGACGTCTAAGTATAATCGAGGCTAACAATTTGGAAACTATATTAGTTAGACTGATTCTGCTGTGACTGTCCTTTCTTGTAGATTGGGACAATTAGCGACTGAGACCAGTCAGATGGGAATACGTCCAGTTCCCAGATTTTACCTAGAATCTCGGTCAGTCTAACTGTTAAAAATGGACCATCATCCTTAAATATCTCAGGGGTAAGCCTATCAGGACCTGCTGATCTACCTCCCTTTAGATTTCCTATAGCTTTCTCAACTTCATGTAGACTGGGAGGACTTAAATCGATTGGCCATTCAGGATGACTGGGGATCATAATTTCAGTAAAAGAAAACAAGTGAAATGGGAAAAATATAGTCTAAAAAAATAGAGGGAATAAAATCGAACAGGAGGCAGAAAATAACGAATCAATGAAATGATGACTAATCTTGAGGCGTGTCGATTCGTTTATCAAGTAATTCAACTTTGAACGATAATTTCCACAAAGAGGATGAGAGTAATACATTCATTCATTCATTCATTCATTCGAAGGAGCCTCCTTTAATAATAAAGCATCACTTTCCTTATAGTGTCTGTAATGTTTTGTACTAGCCCCAACAGAAATTTCAATTTATAATCAGTCATATTCACAACAGATTAAGCTGGATGACAGCAGCTGGCTATTAGAAAATGTAAAATAAGGGAAGTACACACAGTAAATTTACTTCAGTAGTTCAAGAGACAGAGATTGAGTCTATATACAAGGAGGAGTTAGGTAAGGTGGATTTCAGTTACAAATAGTACAACACACCTACAATTTTCATAGAAATTTATTTACATTGATAGTAGGTGGACAAATATAGAGGGAGTTGTTTGATTTTCGAATACTTTCAAAATATAGACTGATATTTGTCACGGAACAGTTTCATCTTACACAGATGACCTGAAACAATATTGAACACCTACCTACCTACTCAAATTTTTGCGGAATATAAGTACTATACCATAAATCAGCTGAAATTCTACATACAATCTGGATTACCAACTTGTCAAAAAATTATCAATCTACGATGATATATAACAAGAGTTTAAACTATGATCCATAGTGGTATTGCATGTTTAATTTTGAAAAGTCGGGCATATAATATCACTAGTCTGCAAAGTTATTTACAGAGCTTAAAGAATATATATATATATATATATATATATATATATATATATATATATATATATATATATATATATAAACTGATCATTGATTAGTTCATTTTGAATATAAATAATTATTAATTCTATTTCAACCAATAAAATAACACACTATTGAAATTATCAACCAATCAAACAAATTTATAATTTCGCTAGTGTTCAAATGTCATGATGATGCAAACAGGGACATATGTTACGTATGTCCAACCACTAACAACCTCGATGAACAATGTTTTAAGGTTGGAAGAAAGCTAGGAACGGCTAGACTAGAACATGGCACAAATTCATGATGTCCACTGACAAGTGGACTGAGTCATGTTGGCACATGTAAGCTACCTTGGTTGGGATGCGCGAGACGTAAGTCACCAATGGTTAGAGACGTTGAACGGCATGGCTCAGAATCGTTTACAATGGCGCAGGTGCATCCACTCTTTGTGTTCGCTCAAATTTTAATCTTCAGAATTCCTCATCATTTCTATCTTTCTCTCTCTAAAGTTATCTCACTGAATTATACTTCTTGAATAATATCTCCGAACTCTAATCTTCTCCATTACTGCTGATACTTCTACTATCTCAACCATTATGAGATTTGAATTGACAGTTGCGTCTTTGTGCTGATGCGATATGGCAACCTGAACTTATGTACTTATGTACGAAGTTCTACGTTGTAAGTGACTGACTGTCAACAAAAATTAAACTAGTGTTGTCGTTAATATTTTAAACAAAGTGATTGTATGCGTTGGTTTCAAATCTAAAAGTAGGACTCATCAGTGTGGCAGTGTGCATCCATGACTCCAAGCACTTTGAAGGAATCGAACTCAGTACCTTCGACCGACCATTACCTATCAGCGTTATCATCAACAGAATCGCTTCAATAATTCCAACAGTATTGAAATGTAGTTTGTAATGAGAGAAGAAAAAACCAAAACAAAAACACTAAAACTTACTCTTAAATCTGCTAAAATTTCATGATGTTCCTTGTCCATAACTCGTATCATTTTTCTAAGAGCGAATAGTTGAGTTCGTCTTTGTTGAAATGATACAATAGTCGAGACAGAATGTTCTTGATTATGAAGAAAAATAAGAACACAAACAAAGAAGGTAACAATAATGGAATAAATGGAAAATGCTAGATGTGCAGTGGATCGATAATAATAACAATAACAGTAATATTTTTGAAACCATGATTTGATCCATGTTAGACTAACAATGGAAGCACTGGACTGCCGTTTCGTCCTGGTATGGGACTCCTCAGCAGAGCGCATCCAGGTTTATAATGGTGGTCTAATATTGATCGATTCATGGTTTCGAAAATGTGTAACATAACAATCTTCACAACCCCGTAATGCAAGTTACCTGTGCTCACTAGTGACTAGCTTCGTGAGGAATCTTCTCCGAGTTCTAGTGGGAAGGTATGACCAGTAAAGCTCAACCTATTCGGGTCTAGACAGTAACTACCGAAGACTGTGTATGAGGTTGCTCAACTCCATGAATTGATGAAGTTAGACATTAACACCGTTGGATGCCGGTCCAGTGGTCCGACGGTTAGGCGTTCGCGCACAATACCGAAGGTCCCGGGTTCGAATACTGTGAAGTGCAGGAGTCGTGGATGCGCACTGCTGAGGAGTCCCACACCAGGACGAAACGGCAGTCCAGTACTTCCAGGTTTCTGATGGTGGTCTAACATTGATCGATTCATGGTTTCAAAAGTGTGTAACTTAACAATCTTCACAACCCCGTAATGCAAATAATAGTAATAATCAGTCAAGGGGCTATATGTTAGGACAAATCCATTTAGGTTTAAAGCAATTTTATTACAGGAATCATGAAGCGATCATTGTTAGACCATACCACATTAGAAACCCGCAAACATCAGACAACTGTTTCGTCCTAGTATGGCACTTATCAGTAGTGCCACCCGCAGGATTCGAACCAAGGAACTCCGGTTCGGAGAGCGGAAGCTAAACGTCTGGACCGGCATTCAACAGCGTCAACATCTAAATACGATCAATAGAGGGATTTCGCGCGACCTCACCCATTTTATTTTTTTTTAAAATGTTAGTTAGGAACATTCAATATGATGGAAAGGTATGAGGAATCAAGATACAGAAGTGCTTCTCTGAGCCATATGTATGGTTATTGTAGACTTCACAATGGAAGGCCTATGATGTGCGACAGTCGGAATCTATGAAGACTTGGCAAACTCAAATGATGATATGATTTTAAAATTGGTCATGATCATGTAGTTGGATTCATGTTTTCTCCAAATTTTAAATAAATCGATTTTTTTTTGAAAAATCAGATAAGTGACTCGATAGTCATTGACTTAATTCATTTTTTGTTAACCATACTCTATAAATTCTGCACTCTATCTTGTTAATTTCTTCCTTTCCCGATGACCTTTATCTCTTTTCACATTCATTTGACTAGGTTATACTCCTTGAATAACATCTTCAAACCCTAAATCTTCCGATCACTGCTCATACTGTGGTGCGAGCTACTTATAAGTAGAATATGACGAGTGCAAACGTAATGCCTAGCAGCAGAAGATGGGGGAAGATCAAGAAAGGAAGAGTTAGAACACAATGGAATTTGTGTGAAACGCATGAATAGTGGCAATGGATTGATGTTTTGCAACAGGAACAGTCCAGTTCGATATGATGAACTGATATTTTGCAAATGAACGATTTATGATATGGTTTTCCTATTTTACTGAGTAACTCTGTAATTTTCGTTAAATACAATCCGGTTGCCCCACCTGTGTTCTCGTTCACTACAATACTTCTACTAACTCTACCACTTTGAGATTTGAATTGATAGTTACATCTCTGTGCTAATTCAACTTGAACTGATGTACGTTCGAACGTACGACGTTCTAAGTTGCTGCTGACTAACTGCTTGAATTCCTCCTTGTTTCATTGTACCCATTTCATATGTGACAATTTAGACCGATAATACAACTGTGCCAAGTTCTAATTAAATTAATTATATCATTGAATAACAGACTATATCAAATACAATCCTTAGTACCATAGAATTACTGTTCCGAAAGTGCTTGACTTTGGGAATATATATATCTATATATTCGAGGTGAGAAAGTTAATTAATACCATTTGACTGCGTCCTAATGATTAGAAAATGGCTAATTGAACGATTACTATTTGGAGTACACAAAAATAAAAGTCAATAATAACTGAACAATTTTTGAAAAAAGTACCAGTTTTTATTCAAGGTCAGTCACACGTATTAGGCCTCAGTCAATCATTTAGTTACAATGTAGAACTTGGTACACGCAAACAGATGCAATTGTCAATTCAAATCCCATAGTGGTAGATGTAGTAAAAGTATTAGTGGTAATGGAAACGATTAGAGATTGAAGATATGATTCGAGACGCACAACACAGTGAAATAAACTTAAAAAGCAAAAGATTAAGGTGATGAGGAATTCGGAAGATTAGAGTTTGAGAGAGGACAATGAGTGAATGCGTCTGAGCCATGTCATTGAAAGTCTCGAACCATCCGTTGAGATTGTTTCGCGGACCTCAACCAAGTAGTCTACACCAACTTGCATGACTCAGTCCAGTTGTCAATGAATACATGGATTTGTGCCATGTTTTGGGTTTGACTGCACCTAGTTTTCTACCAACCTACCCTTACATCAAACAACATCGCTCGTCCGGGTAGTCGGTGGTCAGACATACGTAACATATGTCCCAACCACTTTAACTGATGACATTTCTCCACTTCATCTGCCACCCTAACACGTTTCCTAAAACATCACTGCTTACTCGATTGTCCCAGGATACGCGAGTAATGTTTCGAAGACACTGATGATCGAATACTGATAACCTGCGAATATGCATTACTCTAACTGGCTATGTTTCACACGATGAGAGTTGAGCGGAGCGAACTGTTTTCGATGGCAGTTCCCCATAATCTCTGACAAAGCAGAGAGCCTGTATAAGGTTTATTGTACTTCTTTGACGTATTTTTAGAGCTATTCGAAGAGTAATTATTTCATGAGAATTGTATACTGTCCTTTGAAATATTTTACTGCTAACAAATAAGTAATATCTCACATATATGTTGTTTCTACAATCAATCATACTAGTTATTATAGGTTGAGGTACGCGGGGTGAGGTGGGTCAGTCAGTCAGTCAGATGCAATGTAGAACTTCGTACGTAAGTACATCAGTTCATGTTGCCATACCACATCAGCACAGAGATGTAATTGTCAATTCAAATCCAATAGTAGAAGAGGTAGTTAAGGTATTCGAAGTAATCGGAGAGGTTAGGATTAGAAGATATTATTCAAGAAGTATGATTCAGTGAGAAAAGTTTAGAAAGTCAAAACTAGAAATGTTGAAGAATCCAGAAGATTAGGATTTGAGAGAACACAAAGAATAAATGCACCGACACCATTACGAACGGTTTTGAGCCATATCATTCAGGGTCTCTAACCATCGATTATTATCATCTCGCGGACAACAACCAGGTAGTCGACAACTACCGACATGGCTAAGTCAACTCGTCAATGACTTCAAGGATTGCTGACATGTTTTGGTTTGGCCGCCCCTAGCTTTCTTCCAATCTATTCCTACAGTACAAAGCAAAGCTCGACGAGGCAGTCGGTGGTTAGGCATACGCAACACATGTCCCAACCACCTCAACTGTTGAAGTGTCACTACTGCGTCTATTCATCTGCCATTCTTACCTAGAACCCGTTTCCTAATAACAGCGTCGCTCATTCGGGTGTCCCAGGATATACGAGCAATGCTTCGAAGACACCTATGATTGAAAACCAGTAACCTACAAATATCTCTTACTCTCACTGGCCATGTTTCACAACCATAAAGTAAGACGGAGCGAACTACTGCGCGGTACACTCGTCCTTTAGTCAGTAAACGGATATCTCACCTACGCCATAAGTGACGCAGCTGGGTGAGGTGGGGGTATTAAGTGAAAAGAGTATTTTAATCATTCCTTACAGTGTGATCGTGGAGTTTCAGGAAAAAAAGTACTAAAATAATTAGAATAACACTTGACACTATGAATAGTTCTAATCGAAATGATTTTAAAATCAACCGATCTCATTTTCTTTCTTTCTCATACTTTTTATTTACATAGATTATACTAGTGAGAAAAAAAAATCTCGACAGGAACAATCACAACAACAAACTGATTGCAAAAGTAGAAAAAAAAATCGATTCATGAGAAAATCGAATTATGCCAATGAAATTTGGCATGTGATTGTAAAATTCAAATTGTGTAGAATAGAATATAGTTGAATGATATTCACAGAAAAGCAAAAAACGAAAACAACAAACAAACAAAACAAAACAAACTTAATTCATATGTGTTGTGCAATTTTTTTTTAAAAAAAAGATTATTTGAAGAGTACAACGTTGAGAAATACTGGTACTCGATTGTAGCTGCTACCCTGATGTGATTGGTCGGACTTGCCTATCGTGATGACGACCCAACCGAGCTATATTGGCTGGAACAGATCTGTTCCTGTAGGTTCTATCATGCCAGACAGGTCGATTGGAGAACGATAAGACTCAAAGCATCTAGCTACTCAAGGTTTGAGGGTGAAGTCGTACTGCTGACTACTGTAGAGGGGTGTGACAACAGTAAAGTGTTTCCCTCAAACGACCAGCATCTGCAGCGATGCTGCCTTTTCACAACGGAAGGAAGGGGTTGAAAACGGTCGACCCTAAAAATGTCAAACCTCACCCTACACCTCACGGATTTCCGTCTCCGGGGGTAAGGGCTTTTAAATAAGAGCTGAGCTCATAAAAAAGCCGTGCGTCACCAGCCTCAAGCAGTTGTCCCTTAGGCTCTGCGTTCACGCCCTCAGGTCTCTAATACCAACGCTAATATACCTTCATTTTCAGGTCCCTCAAGAAATTCCTTTCCATAGGGTGTGCAGCCGGGTAGTGACAACTGCCCACATACCCGTAAATAAACAGGTGTCTGACAAAATACTAGTTGATGTTTCGTTTTCTTCTACTACTAACGGATCTTAAGTCCCATAAACGCCTTGGTACGATCGACAGTGAAGAGAGATCAATCCTCATTTAAAACACTCTCTTCACATGGGCCGCACATACATAGTCACTGGCGAGAAAGTTCTACTTACTCCCTTTCTCGGGCAGCACTAGTGTTGGTTACGAAATTGAAAGAACGGAGAGCAAGTGCCCGTTGGTTTAACAGGGTTGGTCAGTGCGGAGTATTCATCTAGGAGTGTTGAAGAACCCTTACTGCAAACCAGTAGTACGAATGGTCTCCACGGCCCTCAGGGAATAAAAAGCGTATGTTGGTCACCGGTTACTATGAAATTGAATCCACCTTACGTTGTCCCACTGTCTTATGGATTAGACTTTTGAGTTAAATACTCGGCGAGCGGTCCTCTAACAAAACCAAGGGATTCGGTCAGGTTAGCCGGGCAAATAAATAAATATTTTCTAACATCGAAATAGGTATGATAGAGGACTCCGGTTATTAAGTTCAATGAATGTAACTCGTATTTAGGTAACCAAATGACATTTTAAGTGAAGTAGTAGTTAAAACTAAATGAGTGAACTACACCGACTACAACTTTGTCGTTTTTTTGCACGTGTAGTTTTCTTCTTATCAGTTATTAAATTGTATTGACTTGGAAATGTATAAACACTACTTTATAAAAATTTTTTCATTAAAGAGTTACGGGGATTATTGAGTTTCACTGAAATAATGAATTGATCATTGTTAAACCATCATTAGAAACCGGGAAGCCCTCGACAATTGCCAAATCCTAGTAAGGGACTAATTAGTGGCAGTGCACATCCGTAACACCTGCTCGGGGGAGTCCACCCCAGGACCTTCGATCTTGCACGCCAATGCTTCACCTCTAGACCAGTGAGTCGGCGGCATCCAACGGTAGTAATGTTCAACAACAATCAATCTAAGGTATCGCGCAACCTTATCAATAGGCTAACAATGACCAATTCATAATTTTAATGAAAAACCATGAAATGTGCTGACTAGTGACTAGCTTCGTGAAGAAATTCTCGGAGTTCTGGTGAGAAACTGTGACCAGACGAATTAAACCCTGTCGGATGTAGACATTGAGTGGATTTGTGCAATATTAGGGATTGATCACAGTTATACATTAAAACTTTTGGATACTACCGGCTCAGTGATCTAGAGGTGAGGTGTTCGTGAGTGAGACCGAAGGCCATAGGTCCGATCGCCGCAATGAGCTGTCATGGATGCGCACCGCCACTGATCAGCCGCAAAACTAGGACTTAAGCAGCCGTCCGGCGCTTCCACGTTTCCAATGGTGGTCTGACCAATGACCAATTCATAATTTCAAAAATGTTGATATCACAGTTAAGGAGAAAAAGAAATGCAAATCAACAATTATACACATGTGTATAAAATGAGCTTATCATTGGCATCAATGACAACAGCAACAACAATAACAAGAGAGATATAGGAGAAAGCAAAATAATAAATTCATCTTGGATGTTGTCATCGCCGTCATTGTCGGGGTTGTGAATAGTCAGTGAATTATTGATTTTTATGATGTGAAAACCATATGGGTGTGATGAAGATGAATGTGTTTGCTACTGAATAAGCCTCACAAGCATCAATAAAAGCAAAAAACGATAAATAAAACTGTGAAGAGGAGTCACATTGTTTGTGTGCGTATGTGCGTTTGTGTGCGCACGCTGTTGTGTGTGTGTGAGAGAGAGAAATCAACCAGATAGCACAGAAGAAATGTTGTAGTGAGTAAACCAAGCGATTGACTATATATATATTTATATGTAGCTAGTGATTCAGTTAGGCAGTTAACCAACACGACCGAACGACCACACACACATACACACATACATACATACATACACAAATGAACGAACAAATTTAATCAGCACAACTATAACACAAATAATTCAACTATGGAAAGTTTTAAAACAGTTTAGTTTGGTACACTTAATGTTTTGTTTTTCTAGTGTAATGCATACACACACTGGTTTTAATATGTATCCAAAATCTAGGATTATATTTTCATCTAAGTTACCTACTTACTAACTAATCATGACGGTGTCTACCTACCTACCTACCGACCTACGTACGCTGTTCCCGTCAAGAAACACAATTATATACATACATACATAAGCATACAACTGTACATTTACCAGTGTGTACAGAAGTATCCACTAATTATTAGGTGTAGAGTAGTGAAAATTATGACGGCACAGTAGTGAAGATACAGGCAGATATATATATATCTAAATATAGTCGATTCACATAGACAAATGAAGGTTCTATGTGTCATACACCGAGAGAGAGAGAGAGAGAGAGAGCGAGTGAGCGAGAGACAGAGAGAAAGGAATGCGCAATAAAACGAAAAAACAAAACATGAAGTAATAATAATAATACTAGTGAAGTGCAAAAAAAAAATATTCATTATGATTCATTTTAGTGTTTGCAATGGACAATTGCCATTTGTGAATGAATGTCCCAAGTCTAGTGGAAGAAGTATTACCAGGTTCTGTTTAAGTAGAAAGTATTAGATATGGGTCAATGATCTAGGGTAAATATAAATACACTAAGTAAGTGATGAGGTAAGCTTTTGTGAAATTCTCAATGTGAATATGATTCCATGCGTTTGGATTGCATAATTTTAAGTAGTTTTAAATCTTATTATTATTGTTATTATTATAACTTTTATTATGAACGAACAATTTTCAGCCGTGACTTTGAATGATATGGCTCGAAAATCATTTACACTGGCGTAGATGCATCCATTATTTGTCTTCTCTGAAAACGTGGCCAGTAAGAATCGAGGAAATTTGTAGGTTACTAGTATTCGATCATCGGTGTCTTCGAAGCATCGCTCATATATCATGGGTGAGATCACCTAGTATGCAATGTTGATGTTAGGAAACGGATAAGGATGGCAGATCAATAGATGAAATAGTGAATCTTGATCAGTTGAGGTGGTTGGGACATGCGTTACGTATGCGTAACCACCGACTACCTTGATGATCGATGTTTTGCGATGTAGAGGTAGGTTGGAAGAAAGTTAGGTTCACTCAAACACAAACATGAAACAAATCCATGAAGTAAGAGAGTGCTGGACTGAACCATGTTAGTAGGCGTAGATGACGTTGACTGACATAGCTCAAAGTCGTTTGCAATAGAGCAGATACGTCAATTGAACCCTAATCTTCAGTTGGTAGTTTTCTCCTCATTGTACTCATTTAAACTTAGTCCGCCGGCCATAAGTCCGAAAAATTTAGGAGGGTTGATCGATCAAGGGGGGTTAGTGACCCGATTCCGTAGAAATCTAACTAACTAAAAAAAATTCGCTAACCAGAATTGATCGGCGGCCTATGCTCCATTGGCGGTAACAGGGCGTGTAAGTAACTCATAAACTCCATTGGTTACATTTGAACTAGTACATATTTATCGCACGTCCTATTTTCAAGACTATTTGACTGAAACACTTGCTAATGTTAAGTCAGTTATATTGTTGAAATGTCACTATAATCAGCAGAATTCGGTTAGATTCACTTAAGATTAGGCTAGATAGAGATGTAGGTAGGCATTCAATTCTGACTCACATTACTATTACATCAGTCAGTCAGTCAGTTGCAACGTAGAACTTCGTACGTATGTACATAAGTTCATGTTGCCATACCACATTAGCACAGAGACACAAATGTCAAATCAAATCCCATAGTGATAAAGATAGTAGAGGTATTAATGGTAATGAAGAAGAATAGGGTTCAAGATATTATTCAAGAAGTATTATTCAGCGAGATAAGGTTAGAAAGACAAAGGTAGGGGTGCTGACGAATCCAGAAGATTAGGATTTGAGAGAGCTCAACGAATGGATGCACTTGCGCCATTGCAAACGATTTTGAGCCATGTCGATCAAGGTCTCTAACCATTGGTGACTTTCGTCTCGCGGACCCCAACCAGGTAGTCTACATCTACCAACATGACTCACCCCACTAGTCAGTGACTTCATGGATTTGTGCCATGTTTTGGTCTGGCCGCACCTAGCTTTCTTCCAACCTACTCCTACACTGCAAAACATAGCTCGTGGTTAGCCATACGTAACACATGTCCCAACCACCTCAACTGATGAAGTTTCATTACTTCATCTATTAATCTGCCATTCTTATCTAGTACTCGTTTCCTAACGACAGCATTGCTTACTCGGTTGTCCCACGATATACGAGCAATGCTTCTTAAACATGTATGACCGAATACTAGTAACCTACGAACATCTTCTACTCTTAACGGTCATGTTTCGCATCCATATAGGAGAACGGAACAAACTGCTGCGCAGTACCATTACATAAAGATCAGTGATGATTAGTGACTAGAGCTAGTTGGACAAACAAAACATTAAGTGAAGGTGAAACAATAACAACCGTCTGACATACATACAGCAAGGTTTTTAAAACACTAAACTAGGCGCATAAAACACGACATGTGAGCTTGAGTGGTCGGAATTAACATTCAAAGAGAGGGAAAAAAACGCGGCAATAAACAGCATGAACAGAAAAAATTTTTAAATCAATTTAGCTGAAATCATCAATTACTACTTACTTGCCATACAATTTAACAGACTATAATGTGACAATACAAATAATTCAGCGGTACTTTTTGCTGTAGGCTCTTCAAGTATACAATAATCTGTTTTTTTTTTAAAAAAAGAAAATAAATAATGAAGAGAAGAAAGAGAAATAAAGCTTTTTAAGCAATAACCAAAAACAAACAAACCCATTTGCATTTACATGATACATGATATTGAACACAGTAAGGGAGATAGATAGATACATCACAACACATACAAACAGTATACATCGACGTGTGATATATTCAAAATGTACATGAAAATACCAGTGCTCCGATCTTTTTTTTGCCAAAATGCTTTTCTAACCCCGGTCAATAATCAAACTTATCTCACTTCTTCGTTTTTACATAGTTTAGCGGTAGTCGACAGAAAACCCCAATGCTACATTCAGCGGTACTGGACCTTCCACAGTGTGGGCAGCCGGGAAGTGATAACCGCCCTCATACCCGTAACAGCACGAGAAACCGAATTGGTCGAAATCAAATCCTTCATACACCCACACATACCTCTCTTCTCTCCACAACTAACTCTACTCACATTCCCTTATCTGACTGCACCGCTAATGCAAACGATGCGAGTTCACGAAACGTCATTCCTGGTCTCTTGAAACCTCGTTCTAGACAATATGTTGGAGCATTTCCCGACCGTAGCTGCTACTTTGACGTGGTGGTCGGGCTTGCCTATCGTGATGACGACCCAACCGAGCTATATTGGCTGGAACTTATGTTCCTGCAGGTCCTACCATGCCACGCAGGTCGATTGGAGAACGATGAGACTAAAAGCAGCTACTCAAGGTTTGAGGGCGAAGTTGTACTGCTTAATACAGAGGGGTGTGACAGCAGTAAGGTGTTTCCCTCAAACGACCAGCATCTGCAGCGATGCTGCCTTCTCACAAGGAAGGAAGGGTTAGAAAAGGTCGACCATAAAAATGTCACACCTGACCCTACCTCACGGATTTCCGTCTCCGGTGGTAAGGGTGCCCACTAAGGGCCTTTAAGAGCGGAGCTAATCCTCAAAAAACCTTTCATAAAAAGGCCGTGCGTGACCGGCCTCAAGCAGTTGTCCCTTGGACTCTGCGGTCACGCTCCCAGGTCTCTAATACCAACGCTTATCTACCTTCCTTTTCAGGTCCCTCTGTCAGCGGTACTGGAGAAAAGTAGTGATTGAAGATATTATTCAAAAAGTATATCCCAAAAGATTAATTGAGAGAGAGAAAACACGATCCAAAGAATGAATGCTTCTGCACCATTGCAAATGATTTTGAGTCATGTTATTCAAAGTATCTAACTATCGGTTACAATCACATCTTGTGGACCCCAACCACAGGTAGTCTCCTACATCTGCTTATCATAAAATGAAACCATTTCATGATACTAAACAATCGTTGTCTGAAATCAACCAACCGATCAAATTCGAAATTACACTATAAACTAAGGTAGCCAGCCGCCACCTTGTCAATTAATTCAGTGATAAACAGTTAGTTCCAATATCTCTATTGGGATTGAATAGTACTGATGACTGACCAATACAGTCGTCAGTCAATAATCATCAGCTACAACGTAGACCATGGTATTTATTGATCTTCCACAACCGTACCTAGTATCTGTTTCTTAACAACACCATCGCTTATTCGATTGTGTCCAGGATACACGAGCAATGCCTCGAAGACAGCTATAATCGAATACTAATAGCCTATGAATATCTTCTACTCTTACTGGCCATCGTTCACAGCCATAAAAAGTAGGACAGAACAAATTGCTACACAGTACACTACCAGTCCTTTGGTTTAACAAACAGATGATTGACCAATAATTATACAGTAACATTCCATAGAAAGGTGAATAGAGCGTGTGCTTACTTCGTAATATTTCTGCAGCACATGATAATGATAATTCTGGTAAACTTAAATTTAAATGATGCATTATTCGTCCGGATACACGTAAATGCTCTGTGATACGTTGAAATGTAGGAAAATGTCGCATAATCACTTCACGTTCTTTAGCTGGAAAATCAAAATAATTATATTCATCGGTTTCGGGACAATAATCACGACTAAGAAGTAATAATAGGACAGAATACATTGATTCACGCACTAAATTACTTCTAGCTGTTATGCCTAATTGATTAAAACCTGTGTGGAAATTGAAAAGAAAAAAGATAAAAAAGGGATTGAACATTGATTACAAATGAATAAGCGCAAAATTTAACATATCAAAGCAACAGTCGGTCAGAAGTAGTTAAGGTGAACAAATGGAATATTTTCGCTGTCAAGTTTAAATCAAGTTAGATACTTGACCTTGGAGGAGGCTGTTTAAATGAGAGCTAGTTATACTGTTCAAATAACTTGACTGAAGTTAGAAATCAACGCTATTTGATGCCAATTGTGTGGTCTAAATAAAGGTTAGGTGTTCGTATGCGAGATCAAGAGTCCTGGGTTCGATTTCTGGCTGTATGGTCGTGGATGTGCACTTTCATATTAGGAAGAAACAGTGGTCTACTGTTTACAGGTTTCTAATGATGGTATAAATTAGATCAGTTCGTGATTTGAACTAGGAAGATTTACTATCTGTTTCTTTGAACTATGTAAAGGTATTCAAAGGACAATCTAGGTTAATACAGGTTTCATGTTCTTGTTGAAGTATATACAAAATACTGTTGATGTTTTTTACTTCTACCTAATAAATGCCGTGGTACGGCCGACAGTGGGGCGAGTTCACACACACTCTCTCTCGAAATGCTCTCATAAAGCTGCAGCTGCATAGCTGGTAACAACGAAGTCCTACTCACGCCGTTCTCGTGCAGCACGAGTGGTGTCTACGAAATAAAAAGAGAACGAAAAGCAAGTGTCCATCGATTTAAAAGGGTTGGTCAGTACGTAGCATCTAGAAGAGTTCAAAATCTCTCATTCAAAACTAATAATGCAAATTGTCTTTATGATCCTTAATGAACAAATGATGTATGAACCTCCCTCTGTTGGTCACCGGTTACAATGAGACTGTATATCCTTACATTAATTACTTCACTACTTTGTGGATTAGACTTTTGAATCAAATGCTTGGAGAGTGTTTCCCTAAGAGAACCACATACTTCGATTCAAGTATCCACAGAGTATCTCAGCCCATTCACTCTCTTATAAATTCAATTATTTGTGTGTGGCCAACGCATAAATATCTCAATGTTTCTCTGCATCAGTCAGTCAGTCAGATGCAACGTAGAACTTCGTACGTAAGTACATCAGTTCATGTCGCACAGAGATATAATTGTCAATTCAAATCCAATAGTAGAAGAGGTAGTAAAGGTATTAGAAATAATTGGAGAGGTTAGGATTAGAACATATTATTCAAGAAGTATGATTTAATGAGAAAAGTTTAGAAAGTCAAAACTAGAGGTGTTGAAGAATCCAGATGATTAGGATTTGAGAGAACACAAAGAATAAATGCACCGGCGCCATTGCGAACGATTTTGAGCCATATCATTCAAGGTCTCTAACCATCGATTATTGTTTCTCTGCATCGATGTCTTTACGCTGAAATAAACAAATAAATCGACACTATTCGATGTTATGATGATTCAAATTAACAAACAAATTAAAAAAAATTCAACCGCATTTATTATTATATAACTGGGAAGAAAACGAGACAATCAAAGAGTAGTTTTTTGTCATCAACAACATCGTCATCTTCGCAGCAATCCTCCACATGTATGTTTGTACGTATGTATGTAAGTGTGTGTACATATGTATGTATTGACTGACTGACTGATTGATTGATTGTTTAGTTCAAGTTTTGTGTTCCATTCTATCTGTTGGACAAATATCCAGACAAGGTAGTTCAAAACAAAATACGAAAAAAATCAATAACGAAGTAAACAATCAACTGGCGAACCAACCAACGAATAAACAAACAAACAACAACAATCAAAAAAAGACATACATTCCTATCTCTCTCTCACTCACATACACACACACACAATAGAAAACTAATTTTTATAAAAATGGGATTTTCTATTTTCTTCTTCTTCGTTCACAATTCCCACCTCATATCCCTACCAACTAATAATAGTAAATATCAATGAGATGAATGAATGAATGAATACTGCTGGTAGTGTGAAATTTACTCTATTGTAGTTTTTTTTATATAATTCTAACATAAGAGTTAAATTGAAACGATGATAGTAACAGATGGTGAGAGAGTTTTTGTGTGATATGGCGTAGATGCATCTGTTCTCTGGCTTCTGTCAAACTCAAAACTCATCACCTTTATCTTTTATTTCACAATGGATTACATTTTTCGAAGTATATCTCTGATCCCTATAATCTTCTCCACTATTATATGAATACTTCTATGACATTCTATTATTATGAGATTGGAATTGATCATTTTATCTTACTTACTTACGCCTGTTATCCCCAATGGAGCATAGGCCTCCCACCAGTTTTCGCCAACCAACTCTGTCCTGGGCTTCCTTCTCAAGTTCTGTTCACTGTTTGTTCATTCCTCTCATATCTTTCTCTATTTCACGGCGTAATGTGTTCCTTGGCCTTCCTCTTTTCCTTTTGCCTTGAGGGTTCCATGTGAGGGCTTGTCTCGTGACGCAGTTAGGTGCTTTTCGTAGTGTGTGTCCTATCCACTTCCACCGCTTCTTCCTGATTTCCTCCTCCACTCGAATCTGGTTTGTTCTCTCCCAAAGCTCGTTGTTGCTGATGGTGTCTGGCCATCGAATACGAAGTATTTTGCGTAGACAGCTGTTAATAAACACTTGTATCTTCTGGATGATACCTTTCGTAGTTCTCCAAGTTTCCGCTCCATACAGTAGAACTGTCTTGACATTTACACTGAAAATCCTGATTTTGGTTTAGGTTGAAAGTTGTTTGGAGTTCCAGATACTTTTCAACTGTAGAAACGCAGCCCTTGCTTTGCCAATCCGCGCCCTCACATCTGCATCGGACCCACCTTGATTGTCGATGATGCTGCCCAGATATGTAAATGTTTTAACGTCCTGGCTGAGTTGATCATTTGATCGCTGTGTGCTAATGTGATATGGAAACTTGAGGTAATGTACGTACGAACGTACGTACCAAGTTACAAGTTGTAGCTGATTGATTGACTGAGTTGAAAGGATAGAGATGACTATAGCTAACGTCAGTGCCTTCCATAGCATTACGTTCTTCATGATAGATAGTCGAAATGAATCATCTGGCTCAGTAAACAACGCTAACACTGACACTAAACTAAGACACCTATATTATATATGGTGGACAAGGAGTAAGAAGTTAGCAAAACGTGGACAGGTTCACGATTTCAATGTTAAACAACAATTTCCATAACTGTTGATTAGCTTCGTGAGAGAGTTCTCCGAGTTCTAGTGGACTTCAATCCTGTCGGATGTGGGTAGTAACACTATTGAAGACAATGGAATAAATTGCGCAAACTCATTAAACTGATCACGGTTAAACTGTTGGATGTCACCGACTTAGTGGTCTAGAGGTTAAGTGTTCGCCTGAAGGTCTTGAATCTTATTCCTGCGAGCAGGTGTCGTAAATGCACACTACCACTGTTAATGAGCCGCATTCTAGGATTTGGCTTTCAATGTAGTACAATAACAATATACACAAATACATTTCACAACAATGTGTAATTTAATTTAAAAAACTTACCAGGTACAAGTTTAGCGAATTGTACAACTTGTTGTGCATGCATATGAAAATGATTCATCATATGACCCCATACTTGATTGATATTATCTTGATGTTCAAATGGTATAGATGTCATACGAAAACGTGTTTTGAAATACTTGAAACAAAAAAAAACAAAAAGATAATATAGAAGAAAATATCCCGAAAAAAAAACGAAAAAATACTGGAGTGTTAGTAATACAGTAGCATATATGAGTAGCGTGCAGCAATGCGTCGTGGCGGGAGTAACTATGACTCTCTTAAGGTATCCAAATGCCTCATCATCTAGTTGAATGGTCAGGATGGCCGAGCGGTCCAAGGCGCTGCGTTCAGGTCGCAGTCCACTCTGTGTGCGTGGGTTCGAATCCCACTCCTGACACCAAGCTTATGGCGGGAGTAACTATGACTCTCTTAAGGTAGCCAAATGCTTCGTCATATGAGGGGCGTAGCTCCAGAAATCCTGAGGCGGCCTCCGGTTGAGCAATAATGGAGCCTTTGAGAGGGTTGTGGTGGCGACTACCTCTTCGTGGTCCCGCCAGGCAACGTGGCGGTGGATACATCGCTGCGACTAAAGTCGTTCCGATCGCTTAGGATACCGTGCTTTGCATGGTCCGGATAAATGGCACGCTCATGGTCGCAAGGCTGTGGATGCGTTTGACCAGTCTGGGGGATTAAGACTGAACGACTCTAGGTCCGAATCCCGTCCTTCAAGCGTAGGTAAATTCTCGAAAGGGATGTAGCTAGGATGATTGAAGGCGGCCCTGGACTCTATATCTAGGGAAGCAGCCGTAGACATCCTGGACTACTGACGTCGACCCTATGTGGTTGTCCCTTACATGCTGCATCTGATGTAGTGTGCGAACTGGCGTCGAGGCCCCTTAAACAAGGGTCTCAAGTTGGGTTCCGGTGCTTCAGTGCTGAAAAGGGTATTGAACACCAATGACGTCTGCCCACTTCTGTGGGATGAACCCTGCTTGGCTGAGCGCTTGCGTTTGGTCGAGTCCATGACATCTTCCTCATGGAAAGGTGTACGTTCTAGCTGACCTTGTGGGACAAACTCGATCTTTAGCTTTATGTGGGGTTCTGAGGGCCTCGATCGATTGTATCACCGCAAGGCAGTTGGAGGCTAGACGGTTGGAACGGCTGCTGGTTAGTGAACTGCTTGGTCTTCCGGATCGGAAGATATGTAAGCGAAGATAGTCAGAAGCCTGCTTACATTGCCAATGGATGTTTGAAGATAAGGCATACATATTTTTAACAAAATAAACTGTGTCTTCTCCTAACATATACATTCCATCTGGTCTGACCACTACTACTACTACTGTGGTGCTCTGGTGCTAACTACTTATAAGTAGTATATAGCGTGAGTATCAACCTAAAGTCTGGTATCATGATATGGGGGGACGATCCAGAAAGGAAACAATGGAATTTGTATGAAACGCATGAAGTGTGACAATGGATTGATATTTGGCAACAGGAACAGTCCAGTTCCATAGGATGAACTGATCCTTTGCAAATGAACGATTTACGATATGGTTTTCCGATTTTACTGAGTAACTCTGTAATTTTCGTTAAATACAATTCGGTTGCCCCCACCTGTGTTCTCATTCACTACATTTGGTGTCGCTGCCTGCTCGAAAGAAGGGGCTCCCGTGGCCGAAGGAGTTGCAGGACGGAGATTGGCGGAGCTTCCTGGAGGAGTTTGGGGCCACGGTGGAGCTGGTGGGGGCCTGGGGCGGAGTTGACGGTGCTGGAGACGCTGCGGGGAGGTGAGGCGAAGGCGGTACACGACAACCTGGATGGTGCCACCGAGGAGACGGCGTGGGAGACGGTCACCGGGCGGCTGATAATGGAGTTCGACAGCCCAGCGGACAGGGAGAAGGCGCCGCAGAGGTTCCGGTTGGCGCGGCTGTCGGCCGATGGTGACCTGTTGGTGCTTGCTGTGGAGCTCACCGGGTTGCGCCGTGAGGAGTGGGCGGGGCACGGTCTTTGGCGTCGCAATTTGTCGAGTGTGTGCCTGCCGCCGTGTTCCAGCATCGGGAACTTGTAAACGCGTTGGATAGATGCCGTATCCATTCCAGACCAGTGATCAAGAACGATGACCGAAGTGGTAATCCGGCATATTGTAGCGTGTCACGGAATACGGAAGGTTATATTAACTGACCAGGGGCTCCGTTTTGAAGGACTACGACGACAGCTTATTAAAAGGGGGGACGAGTGTGGTGCTGTGGTGCGAACTACTTATAAGTAGTATATAGCGTGAGTGTCAACGTAAAGTCTGGTATCATAATATGGGGGGAAGATCAAGAAAGGAAGAGTCAGAAAACAATGGAATTTGTATGAAACGCATGAAGAGTGACAATGGATTGATGTTTGGTAACAGGAACAGTCCAGTTCCATAGGATGAACTGATCCTTTGCAAATGAACGATTTACGATATGGTTTTCCGATTTTACTGAGTAACTCTGTAATTTTCGTTAAATACAATTCGGTTGCCCCCACCTGTGTTCTCAATCACTACACTACTACTAAGTTGAATGTTAAAGCATTATTATATATATATATATATATATATATATATATATATATTACTGGTTATATTAGGATGAATTAGATTTGAAATAAAAAAGTTAACAAACATCAAATTATAGGTCGTAGTATGAATGACATAGGATTAAATCGGTCTTAACAGAATGCCGCAACACAGTAGTATTTTACATCTTGACCACAGCTGCTACTTTGACCTGGCTATTTAGATTGTATACCATGATAACTTGATCGAGTTGTATTAGTTAGAAAAGTTGGGTTTTTTTAGCCGTACACATTGTTCGGACGTGAAGTCGTACTAGTATTGACTGTCAAAGATATGACTGCAGTCACTCCATCGGACAAGTCACTTTGCCTCACAAATTTCTGTCGGTGACGATCAATCCTTAGGGAAGTACATAGCTAACATATCTTAATCTACTCACAATAAGGCTATATATGATCAGCATTCGAATAGTTCATCCATGGGTCAAAATCGCTGGTCGTAAAAACTACCCTTAACCCAATTTCCTTCTCAAATGCCTCAAAAAGAGTGTCCCTCCACAATGTGCGTAATCAAGAAGTGACAACCACTCTCACAACCCTAACTTTTAACAATTGCATTCATTCTCTATCCTTATATAAATCAGAACAATTATTAAATATCATTCTGAACTTTTCATGCTTTCCTGTACGGTGTGACAATCTGGAACGAAATAAATTCGTGCTGGATCTTACACTGATGACTGACTGACTGACTGACTGACTGACTACAAAAGGCAGTCCATACCGGTAAAAGTGTTGGTATACTATATATTTTCAAACAATATCCAAATATATTCTAGTAATAATATGAATCAATCACATTCAATAAAACACACTAGGCATTTGGTTGAAAATTCAGGTCAATAGTCTGAGAACTACTGTCTGTACACATCATATACAAAACAATTACTTTACAATTAATTATAATTATTGATGATATATATATATATATATGAAATGTAAAGAAATTTGACTTGAAACATATCAATGTCTATGATGAATACGTAGAGATACTACCACTATACCTAATTTGGTATATATAATGAATGAATCATAGATTTAATCTCATTGTCTGAATGTAACACAGTTGTAGTAGTTGTATCATTGTACAATTTAGTTTTAAATGTATTTGGCTTTAAAATATGATTTTCATGCGCACACTGATGACATAATAATGATAATAATAATAATAATAATAATAATAATATCCGGTAGCTCAACTTTGAAGTAAACGAAACCGATTCTATTGATTTGAACAACTAGATAATACCGGATAATTCAAATAGGAAAGGTCAAATGTATAAACTATAATGTTGGATTAAAATAAACATTATGTGTCTGATAACAGTGAGCGGTGTAAATTCAACAACGATCATGTTATTTGCTAACGATGAATTTTGAGAGGTGATTCCTGGAGTTCTACTAATGAGAACTGGTGACTACTGGTGGAGTTCAACTATGTTGCTTAAGAGACAGTTTACTTATCAATAGCAATGGAAGATGGCTGCATGACATCGTAAATTGATTTAAATTTTATGCGTAATCCATAAGATCTTGACTCAAACGTCTGAAGGTCGAACTCCTATCGCGAAATATGAAAGTCCTTCTTCTGATCTCTGACGTGGGGGTCATGGAGGTGAACTGTTAAAGAGTTCCCCGGTACGATGAAGCAATCATACAGTGCTTTTCAGTTTTGAATAGTTGTATAAATAAGGTCAATTTGTCATTGAAAATTATAAATCTTTTTATTACTAAATGATCGAAAGGTATAGCGCTTACTGCAAAAACTGAAAAGTCATAGGCTTGGTTCTGTCTAAGAAATTATGTGTGCGATGTTGAACAGTTGCAAACAAAGATAAAACGGCTACTCAATACTCTCTGGATTGAAGAAAAAGTGCTTCAGTTCACACCAGTTCGTAGTGAATATACTTGAAATAGTTTAACTAGAAATAACAGATGATTGTAGGAACAGAACACTTCGAAAACATCACATAAAAAGACCGCGCATGATCGACCTCACGCTCCCAGGTCGCTAAGACCAGCTATAATCCAACTTCTCTGAATGGTTCTTCAAGAAATACCCTCCCACGGTGTGGGCAACCTTCATACTCCTAACAACACACGAGACCAACTTGTTCACAATCAAATCCTTCCTACACCTTTCATTACCGTGACTGGTATAACGAACAGACAAAAAGGATGACTGATTGATTTGTTACGGCTACTATAGATCAGTCTCATTTGGAATCTGCATCCTGTACGGACTGACTTGATATAGCCCGTTAGGTCACAAGCATTACCAGCACAAGTAGATGATATACTGGGTAGCGATGGGATGCAGAACGTTCGCTTTCTCCTATTGCGGACTAATCAGCCGAATGTATTTGCATCCAGTGGATAAAACAATGATGTTTGAAGCGAACGGGTCTGAGATTGTGTTTCAAAGTGAACATCAACTCTGAGATACAGATGGTACATCCAGCTGACGAGTCATGAATAGGACGAAACAAGGACTCTAGATTTCACAACTAGCCATTATCTATCGCCGCTACTTAAAACAGAGTAACATATGCTATATAGTATAAGCCATTTATCAAATATAGAGACTTATCAACAGTTATCATTGTCTACGTAAAACCTAATGATATTATGCGTAGATATAGGAGTACAGTCCGAACTTGTGATTTATAGTTTGAAAGCAAAAGTGTTATAACCGCTATATTATAAGCTTGATTAATATATAATAACTGTCATTTATTTTGAAAAATTGAAACTTACTGCATTCGGTAATCGTAGAAATTCAGTAGCTGTACGCATACCATCAGTGAATTGTGCAATTGCTTCTGGAGTTACATCAATTGATGGTAAACTATCTTCTGCATCTTCCCAAAAGGATGGATCATCAAAACTAATAAAATTTTGATAATTTAAATTTATTTTATTTATTATCGGTGTGTCTGATGTATTTGCGTGAATTGATGTTGATGTCGGAGTTGGGGAGGAAGTAGGAGTACGAGTAGCAGTAGGAGTAGTGGTAGTGGTAGTAGTAGTAGTAGTAGTGAAAGTTGAAGAACTAACAGTAGATAATTTCAATTTATTATGAACAAATTCATTGTCTGAATGTAACATACTCGATTTACATGTTTGCACCTGAAATAGATTTGAAGAGAAAGGTTGTGACAAAGAAGAGGAGGAGGAGGATGACGATGATGAACACAAGGAAGGGGAAGCGGTAGTAGTAGTAGTAATAGGAGTAGGCGGTGGAGAAGAGGTAGAAGATATAGAAAAATTGATATTATTATTTTGAAGAGGTAATGTTTGTAAATGTTGTTGTTGTTGTTCCTGAGAGTAAAAAGATAACAATTTATTATTACTATTCAATAGACGAGATGTACAAAATGTCACCGATTCGGATTGATGCAATGGAATAATAGAATTGATTGATTTACAACCTGAGTTCGGATCAATCATATCGTCATGATTGGAATTATTATTACTACTACTACTAATACTACACACTGGATGTGAATTATTTCTAGCATCGTTTATTGTGACCGATGATTCATCGTCACTATTTAAAGCATGTCGTCCTAATGCATCATATAGGCTAGATGTACCATTGGAATAGTGACGAATCAATTGTGAAGAGTCAATAAGTGGTGATGATCTCTGAAAGGCAATCATAGAAAAAAAAATATATATATATATATTAAATCAATTAGTTCACATGTAGTAAGTAGTAGTTTAGTTTAGGAATCAATTGGTTATAAAGAGAGCCATTGAAATAATCCAAGAGTATAGAAGATAGCTAACTCCGCTAACCGGAAAAATAATTCGCTGGTCGGCAGCCTATGGTCCATTGGGGGTAACAGGAGTAACTAAGTAAATCAGTAAGCAGGTATATAGTATACTGTTTATAACCTAGTGATCTAAGACTTGACCAACTATAGGCATCGATTAAAATTTAGTTGGGGGGGGGGAGGTAAGATAATCTTAACTCTGATCGTTCTATCGATATGAATATCTTCTTCCATCATCAGTCTTCATTTCGAACAAACAATACATACCAAACAATCTCCCATCATTATATTTTAAGTATACATACGTTTATTTATATCAATAGATAATAACAATTGGATAGCAAAACATTTTATAAAAATTAGAGTTTAGACGTACAAAAAACAAAGAACATTGCTAATGAACAAGGCCAAATTATGAATAATTAATTGATTACACTTATCGATTCCTTATTTTTAATGAAATTCGACAATCTTTATCACTCGGTAAAAAAAAATTATAAAATGTATTCACTAGTGACTAGCTTCGTGAGGAAATTCTTCAAGTTCGAATGAGAAGCCGTGGCCAGTGGAGTATTCAACCGGCAGTGGTTGGCAGTGTTACCTACCGAAGACAATGAATAGTGGTACGCATTACCGTGGATTGATTGTTGTTAGACAGTGACACCTGAGGGATGCCACCGGTTCAGTGGTCTGGAGGTGAAGCGTTCGTGTACGAGACAGGAGGACCTAAGTAGGATTCCTGCGGGCGGGTGTCGCCGATGCACACTGTCAATGATGAGTCCCATACTAAGACGAAACAGCTGTCCAGTGCTTCCAAGTTTCTAATGGTGATTTAGCATTGATCAACGAGTTATCTCGACTGGATTCAAGTGACCAGCAACTTATTCAGTAGGTATGATATTTAAATTTTATCATTGTTGATTAAGTCAGCACTGAATTTCAGTTAGTTTTTGTTAGCATACGTGTATTCTATGTGAAATGCTTTGAATAAAGCTATTTTCAACATAGGTTTTTTGTATTTAGAAAAAAGATATGGATTGTGGGGTAAGAGTTGAATAAAAGAAACTAATCAGTCTGTCTAGGAAAAAGATCTGGTTATATTGAGTCGATTCTGTTGCCTTAAAATTAATAAGATAATAATCAACCAATAATATTTAGAATTTTCAACACAAATATCAAGACAGTTCTACTGTATGAAACGGAAACTTAGAAAACTAAGAAAGCCATCATCCAACAGACACAAGTGTTCATTAACAACTAACTAGACAAAAGACTTCGGATCCGTTAGCCAGACACCATCAATAACAACCCAGATTTCAGTAAAGAAAGAAATTAGTAAAAAGCGCTGGAGGTGGATAGGACACAGATTAAGGAAAGCACCCAACTGCGTCATAAGACAAGACCTCAGTTAAAATCGTCAAGGCTAAAGGAAAAAAGGTAAACTACGTCGAGTAGTAGAAGCAGATATGAGTGGAATGAACAGCAGTTGGACAAAACTGGAAAGGCAGTTTCGGGAGTGCTAACAGAAGTAAGTAAATAAGTAAGATGTGAATCAAGTCAAAAGATGTCAATCTATTATTATTATTGTCGTTCAGGTTGTTGTGATCACAACGATGATGGTTTTTATCATCGACTACATTAGAACTGGAAATAATTAAAATGTACACACACGTAACTGCCGTTCCCAAGCGCAGATAAAGGAAGAGGGTTGAACATGGAATTGAAGACCTCATCCTGTCGAAAAGTAACTCGCTAAAAAAACGCTAACCAGAAGAAATAATTCGAACCATTTTAACTCTGCCCTGGGAGTTAGATCTTCACTAAGAAAAGTCATAAAGTCCCATGGTGTATACCAACGTTCTTCGGAAGTCACGATAACGACGCCCCTGTTGACAACCAGAGAAACTATCAATTTAGGTACATCGAGTGTTCGAGCATTGTAGGAGACTAGAAGACTGTTGTAAATTGCTGCAGAAATGAAAAGATACAACCTCGAGGTGCTTGGAATCAGTAAAACGCATTGGATGCAAGTTGGACAACTGAGACTAGCTTCAGGAGAGCTGCTGTTGTACTCCGACCATGGAGAAGAAAATGCATCATACATGCAGTTACAGTGATGCTGTCCAAACAAGCACAAAAGGCACTGATAGGATGAGAATCTCATGGACCCCGGATCATCAAAGCATCCTTCAAAACAAAGAAAGAGGGTATTACAATCAATATCATACCATGCTATGCACCTATCAAGGACTACAATGAAGACACTAAAGATCAATTCTACGAAAGGCTGCAGCCAATAGTCGACAGATGCTCATCAAAGGATTTGACCATTCTGACAGGAGACCTAAATGCCACGGTTGACATGGACAACACTGGATATGAAGACATCATGGGACGACATGGACTGGGAGAGAGGAACGAAAATGGTGAGTGGTTTAGAAACCTTTGTGCCTTCAACAAAAGTTCAGAAGGATCATAGAGGATGTGAGAACCAAGAGAGGAGCTGATATAGCCTCAGATCGCCACTCGCTGGTCGCCAAAAGGAAACTGAAACTCAAGAAACACTGGAAAACGAGGTGGACAACATCACAAAATTTCAATACGGCCTTTCTTCAGGATACTAGAAAGCTCAACAAATTGAAAACAGCCATCAGCAAGAGGTTCCAGGCTTTGCACGATCTACTCAATAGAAAGGAAACTACCATGGATAAAAATTGGGAAGGGATCAAGGAGGTAATCACTTCAACATGTCAGTAGGTTCTGGGTCACAAGAAGTACCATCAAGAAATGGATCTCTGCTGGTAATTTTAAAAAAATTCATGGAAGGAGGAACAAGAAGGCTGCGATCAACATCAAGCGAACAAGAGAAGAGAGAGCCAATGTATAAGCCGAATACACAGAAGCAAACAAGCAAGTGAAGAGGGGCATCAAAGCCAACAAACGTAAGTATGTAGGAGGTCTAGCAATGAGGGCGGAAAAGGCTGCAAGAGAAGGAAACTTGAGGCAATTGTACGATACAACAAAGAAGCTCGCCGGGAACTATCGTAAACCAGAAAGACCAGTAAAAAGCAAGGAAAGCAAATTGATCAGCAACACTGAAGAACAGCGAAACAGGTCGGTAGTGCACTTTAAGGAACTTTCGAGTCGACCAGTTCCACTGAACTCACCCAACATCAAAGCAGCATCCAAGGACATCCCAACTGATGTTGGCCCATCAACAGTTGAAAAGATTAGCATGGCCATCATACAAATCAAGAGCGGCAAAGCAGCAGGACCAGACAACATCCCGGCAGAGGCAATGAAAGCAAACTATAGAAGAAACTGCGAAAATATTTCACAATCTCTTCAACAAGATTTGGGAGGAAGAACAAGTACCAACAGACTGGAAACAAGGAGAACTCATCAAAATACCAAAGAAAGACGATCACATCAAATGTGAGAACTACAGAGGCATCACTCTTCTCTCAATACCAGGCGTTAGAAGCGAACAGTTCTGGGTTCGAGTCCCGAAATCGACATCAACTCTGAGATGCAGGTTACATTCAGCTGACAAGTCGTGTGTCAGCAACTAATCCATCTTTGTCAATGATCAAACTGTTCAGATGGAAGTATAGAATCATTCATCGATGATACATTGTTCTCGTAAATTTAAAGTCACTACCACGCACATAGACATGATTATTATTATTATTATTAAACACACTAACCATATGCATATGTTTATAGATTTGTAATTTCAAGTTATTCGACAATGAAGAAGCATCCGATTCTAAATTGTAATCAGATTTATTCGAATGCATTTCATCATCATCCACATCATCGTCATCATCACGATCATCAACATCCTCGTCCTCATCATTATCATCACCACCACCACCACCACCGTCGTGATTATTGGCATAACACACTGATGATAATTGTGTACACTTTAAATCATCATTATTTAATGCGGCTGTTAATTGATGATTATGATGATTTGACATAGAGTTCGATGGTAGAAAGAATAGTAAAGATAATGGCGGTTGGTTTGTTGTTGTTGAAGTGGTGGTCGTCGTCGTTGTCGTCGTTATGGACGATGATAATGATGATCTACAATCGTTCAATGATGATGGAGTGATAAGAGTGGGATTGTAATTAGAATTCATCTTATCATGTTGTTGATGATGATTATTATTATTACTGGTATTATGGCCAATCGCCACACTACCGACTCCTCCAGCTCCAATCAGATTATATTGATTGAATGATGATGAACAACCAGTGGAATTTTGATTTGGTGATGATAATCCATCTGTGGAATTCGAGGAATTACCACGTATAGCTTGTAATTGTTTAATTTCAATGGCACAATGAAATTTCACAGCATTTGGTTGACGACCAATTCGACTACCTAGAAAGTTGTGTAGAGAAAAAATAGTAAACCATTTCATTTGAACATACTTAAAATCTCTATCTGTCTGTCTATCTATCGATTGATCGATACTGATTTCGAGCCAGATAGACTTCATATAACAAATGTGATCAATATTATAAATGGGGCAACACGAATGATAACGGGATCATTGTTAGCGTTATTTTAGCTAGTTACTTTTCTACGAAGATGGTATCGCTAACCTTATATGCCCAGCCCTTCCCTCTTTTATCAGGGATACGGACCGGCAGATAACACTTCAATTGTAAAACTCTGAGGATATTAAACCAGTAGTAGTGAGTTTCGATCGATAATAAACTAAGTACTGTGATTGATTTTGATTTATGCTGTCTAACGTAGTTCAACTACTGGTCACAGTTTAAAAAAAACACCAAAACACAAACCAAATAGAGTATAACTCCCGGTCAGTATCAAGCGTTGAAGTATGCTATAGTTAAGGATGTTGAAAACATTTCTGTCAATCACCTTAATAATCGATGAAAACTCATAGTCTCTCATGAATTATTCAATGGTCATCTTTAACGATGTAACTTGGATTGTTCACTGAGTTTTTTCTACGAAAAGTAAGCTATGATTTACGCGGGAGACCGAAGGTCCGGGGCTCGATTCCTGCGAGTAGCGAAAGTCACGGACACGCACTGCTGATGAATTATATATGAGGACTACTGCTTCCAAGTTCATAATGGTGGTTTAACAAGGATCAATTTCATTATTTCAATGAAACTCAAAAAATCTCCATAACTCTATGATGAAAAACTATGGTAGTCGAATATTACACAAACACCAACTTTCCTCGTCATTAAACCACCAGAACTGATGTTGATGATGATGAGAAGTTCAGAGTGAAGCAGTGGTCAATTCCATCGTATACAGAAGTATGTAAAAGACTTGATCATTTGTAGGGGCAAAAAGCAGAAACAACAATCAAATCCACACACACACACACTCTTGAAGATAACGAGATTCGAATAACCAACAATCGATAATCCCCACACAGTGCATTAGGAGGCGGAGTGTACGTATGTGTGTGAATGATTAACTGACAATGAAGCAGGTATATACAAATTTTATGCACAAAACGATCGTATTAGGAGGTCAAGGTTAATTTGTCGTATGTATGAGAGAAAACATGAATAAATCTGAGGGTATTATAGATTAGAGATACAAGGCAATAAAACCAGACAAATTATTACAAATGCGCTGAAAGTTAAGTGATTTAAGATTTACGATTTTCATAGTCAACATTGAAAACACACACATACAAATTTACAAATATGATAACCGTGAGAAGAATAAAAAAACAAGATGTAACTAGTTTAGAAATAGTAAATAAATTACGATAATCATAGTCTGACACATTATGAATGTATATTGAATAAAACAATTTTTTTTACTGTAATTGTACTACATGATTTTACATAAAATGACTAGTATTATTCGAGATATCCAACGAAAAGAACAGGTTTACTGCGCCAGAAGTTTGCTCTATTCTACTTTATGGCTGTAACACATAGCCAGTAAGAATTGAGGATACTGGTAGGCTGTTAGTATTCGATTATAGGTAGGTATCTTCGAAGCATCGCTTGTATCTCGTGGGACAATCAAGTAAAGCAATTCAGTTGTTACGAAAAGAATACTAAGTACGAATGGCGGATCAACTGATCAAGTGGTGAATCTTCATCAGTTAAGATGGTTAGGATGTGTGCTACGGATGCCTAACCATCGACTGCCCCGATGAGCAATGTTTTGTGGTGCAGGAGTAAGTTGAAAGAAATCTAGCGGCGGCTAGACCAAAATATGACACAAATCCATGAAGACATTAACAGCTGGACTGAGCCATGTTACTAGGTTCAGACTACCAGGTTGGGATCCGCGAGACGATGACGCAGGTTCATCCATTCTTTGTGTGCTCTCAAACTCTAATCTTCTGAATTCCTCTTCACCTTTGTCTTTCTCTCTTTTCAAATTTGTTTCACTAGATTCTACTTCTTGAATAACATCTACGAACCCTAATTTTTCCGATTACCGCTCATACTTCTACTACCTCTTCTACTTGGGATTTGAATTGCGTGTTAATGTGGCATGAAAACTTGAACTGATGTACATATGTACGACGTTCTACGTTGTTGCTAACTGACTGACTAACTAGTAATATTATTGTCCAAACGATTTTCTAGTGAATAGTGTTGTTTATGGGATAACCATGGTCGTAGATGATTGGGTGGTGAAAGTGCACCAAATCAGTAATAGTAAATCAGTAGTTCAATGCTCCACAGTAGAGCCGCAGTAAGTGCATCAAAACTGTACATACAATGCATAGTATTGAACGGAAAAAAAGGGCGAAAAATGTCAATACACATCAAAATAACTTACCTTTTTTAGACATTCCTGCAGCTATACACCGGCGAAAACGACAACTTTTACATGCATTTCGACTTCGAGGAGTTATAGTACAAGCATTTTGACCACCTACACAAACTAATGAATTCGATGAGCCTTCAGTACGACGAAAGAATCCCTAGAAAAAAAAGCAGAAGTTGAAAACAACAGATTAACATATTTTTTTTCTCGGTAATCAATATTTTCTTTTCTCGTATATAAGAAAATTCATGGAGTAAGATATCGTGCATACACTAGTGTTGATAACGACAGCAATTTCATCATAACGGATTATACAACAAGTGAAATAGCTCATATATATAATATTGAAGAATTAATATCTGCATTATGGGGTTGTGAAGATTGTTAAGTTACACATTTTTGAAAGCATGAATCGATAAATGTTAGACCACCATTAGAAACCTGGAAGCACTGAACGGCCGTTTCGTCCTAGTATGGGACTCTTCAGCAGTGCGCATACCTGTGCTCACTAGTGACTAGCTTCGTGAGGAATCTTCTCCGAGTTCTAGTGGGAAGACATGACCAGTGAAGTTCAACCTGTTCGGTTGTAGGCGATGTCTACCGAAGACTGTGTATGAGGTTGCGCAACTCCGTGAATTTGATCGAGTTTGACATTAACACCGTTATACACCGGCTCAGTGGTCTAACGGTCAGGGCGTTTGCGCTCAATACCGAAGGTCCTAGGTTCGAATCCTGTGGGATGGGGGAGTCGTGGATGCGCAATGCTGAAGGGTCCCATACCAGGACGAAACGGCCGTCCAATGCTTCCAGGTTTCTAATGGTGGTCTAGAATTAATATCTCCCTACCTATTTTCTGTCCATCAACCTTTCTTATTGAGAAAAAAATCAGATACATTTCGTATGTCGGACAATCAACTATTGTTTTACTACACTCCAATAGTATTAGGTAAACAGTAGGAGGTAAACCTTACACTTAGATTTAATGTTAATTGCCAATCATTCAACAAGCCGACCAAGAGGTTGCCTATCATCTCAGCTACCATGAATCACCACCACCTAACCCTGGTAGTACATGCAGGTATCGAATCACTCAGATTAATCTAATGGACACATTGTAACTTGATCGATGAAATTCGATCCCTACAATAAAGCAGAACTAGGCAAATATGATATTGTACATTGAAATTACGAATCGACGATTGTTAGACCACCAGTAGAAACTTGGAAGCACTAGACGGCCGTTTTGTTCTCCAAATGGGACTGATCAGCAGTGCGCATCCACACCTCCTCGCTGGGATCCAACCTAGGATCTTCGACCTCGCGCACGAACGCTTAACTACTTAGAACACTGAGCCGGCAGCATCCGACAGTGTTGATGAGTTCATGGTAGGCAGTTCTGCCTACACCCAACAGGGTTGAACTCTACTGGTCACAGCTTCTCATTGGAACTTGGAGAATTTCCTTACGAAGCTAGGTCGGAACAGCTGTCCAGTATACTTGCAGATTTCTAATGATGGACGAAACAATGATTGATCAGTAGTACTCAGAGATTCAATCAATTTCTCCGTAACTTGGTGTGTATATAGTTCAAAGCTGATTTTTACAACATGAACCATCGACGACAGCTTACAAAAAGAAAAATAGAATCCAGTCAATATTGAAACAGCATGTTCAATTTTTGAACAAGTTCCGATCACTATGACTAGAAACAAATCAATAGTGTTCGCCTTCACTGCGTCACTCTCATTCACCACTCCTTCCGCTATATTTTTTTCAAGTTTAACAACTATTTGATTTTCAAATGGAAATTGTTTTGTTAAGAAAAAATAAAATAATAACAATAGACTAATGGTTGTGTGTACTAACCGGTGTGTGTGTGTGGGTACGTGTGTGTACCTATTTAAAAATCTATACATGACAACTATTGTCCCAACTTTTGGAATAAGATGGCGCATGCATTGTGTGTGCACGTAAGCAAAAATCAATTTATCCGTGGTGAAATCAATGTTGTTTGTTTGTTTGATTATTGGTGTGTTGTGTTTTTTGTTCGTGACAATGAAAATTAAAATTTTGAAAAGAAAACCAGTTAAACCGAATCGAAATTACAAAATCACTGATTATATTTAATGTTAAGCGATTAATTAGAATCGGGTACCACCTATGCAGTAAGTACAATCAACGATGATGATGATGACGTTTATTTTTTTAAATCATACAAGAAAAACAAATCTTCAATGTTTAAATCATTTAGGTCAACGATAAAAAAAACGTTTTTTTTGAAAAAAAATTAACAAGGAGTAATTTCCTGTAAAAATAAAATTGAATTACAAAGATGATAATTATGTCAAATAATAACCGATGAGTATGCACAAATTGTTTAAACCAATAAATAAATGTACTAGTTCAAAATTCAATGTCTCATGTCTCCTCAACAGTATCGCATTGTTGAGGAAAAGTATCATAATTCTATATGATAAGATTACAGATTATATTGTAAAGGATTGTTAAAGTGCAAATTCCACCGTTAACTAATCAAACAAATCAGTCAGTCAGTCAGATGCAACGCAGAACTTCGTACTGAAGTACATCAGTCCATGTTGCCATACCACATTAGCACAGAGATATAATTGTCAATTCAAATCCAATAGTAGAAGAGTTAGTAAAGGTATTAGGAGTAATCGGAGAGGTTAGGATTAGAAGATATTATTCAAGTAATATGATTCAGTGAGAAAAGTTTAGAAAGTTGAAGAATCCAGAAGATTAAGATTTGAGAGAACACAAAGAATAAATGCACTGTCACCATTGCGAACGATTTTGAGCCATGTCATTCAAGGTCTCTAACCATCGATTATTATCATCTCGCGGACCCAAACCAGGTAGTCGACAATTACCGACATGGCTAAGTCCACTCGCCAATGTTTTTATGGATTTCTGACATGTTTTGGTTTGGCCGCCCCTAGCTTTCTTCCAACCTACTCCTACACTACAAAACAAAGCTCGACGAGGCAGTCGGTGGTTAGGCATACGCAGCACATGTCCCAACCACCTCAACTGATAAAGTTTCATTACTTCATCTATTGATCTGCCATTCTTACCTAGCACCCGATTCCTAATAACAGCGTTGCTCACTCGGGTGTCCCACGATATACGAGCAATGCTTCGAAGACACTTATGATCGAAAACCAGTAACCAGGATTGTAGCAGTAGTGTTGCATCTTCTTCAGAGATGTTAGCTTCTCAGACACAAAAAACTCGGAAGGAGGGTTGAAAAGTCCTTCATGGAACTGGTACTACTACTCAATGTGACAGAAATGCATACCCACCACAAAGGTCACAGTTAAAACGTAATCACTGATAATACAATTGAGTGGTGGCTAACCTCTTCGGACTAATCGCGAGTAGGATCAATTCAAATACTGTGTGTGTGTGTGTATGTGTATGACAAACAAATAAAGAATAGCGATTATAAATAATGATTTTCTCAGAAACAAAAAAACTTACTTTACATCCTTCACATGTTAATGCACCAAAATGAAATCCAGACGATCTACCACCGCATACTCGACAAGGAATACTGGAAATATCAATTTCTGACTGAGTTTCAGGATCTATATTCACAATAAAAAATATATCAATGAATATGATAGAAAGTATTAGTTTTTTTTCGGTAATGAAGTTTAATGCAAATCAAGATTAGTTCCATATAGATTTATATCAGAAATTAAATAAGTACACTGTACAAAAAATGCATACTGTGCCGATAGTCATTAGGTTGTTGAGTTAACCAGAGAGAGAGAGTGGTCACTAGTCTCATACAGATTATCCCTATATTACAGTATGATTACACAGGTTGCAAAACAATGCACAATACAAACATCATCAGATTGAAATCATGAATGAATTATAGTTCGATCACTAACATTAGAAACCTCGAAGCACTGGATAGCCGTTTCGTCCTGGGTCCGAATCCTAGTGTAGTGAACGAGAACACAGGTGGGGCAACCGGATTGTATTTAACGAAAATTACAGAGTTACTCAGTAAAATAGGAAAACCATATCGTAAATAGTTCATTTGCAAAATATCAGTCCATCATATCGAACTGGACTGTTCCTGTTGCAAAACATCAATCGATTGTCACTATTCATACGTTTCATACAAATTCCATTGTGTTCCCCACTCTTTCTTTCTTGATCTTCCCCCATCTTCTGCTGACATACATTACGTTGACATTCGCGTCATATACTACTTACAAGTAGCTCGCACCACAGTAGGAGTCGTGAATGCTCTCTGCTGATCAGTCCCACATACCGAGGACGAGAAGGACGTCTAGTTCTCCCAAGTTTCTAATGTTAGTGGTCTAACAATGATGTGTTCATGATTACAATGTAGAATGCAAAAACAAATATTCTTCATGTTGTCAATGTTTAACACACACAAACAAACACATACATACATACACTTTTAAAATTAGACACCATTTTGTTCGAAGAGGAAATTAAAACTATGGAAAGTGGAAACAAGAACTAAACATTGACAATTGGATTTTAAATAGCTTAAACATATATTACAAACATTATTGATAAATGAAGAAATTGAATAAAATGGTTATATTTTGTTGGATAATTTACTAGATTTAATCAGAATATAATTTTTACTAAACCAGAAATCGTGAATCGATTATTGTTAGCCAACCATCAGAAACTTGGGAGCACTGAACGGCCGGCCACGGGAATCGAACTCAGGGCTTTAGCACGACGAAACGGGCGTCCAGTGCTTCCAGCTTTCCGATAGTGATCTACCAATAAATGATTCATGATTTCAATCAAAAACAACTATTTTCATAACTCTATAATGATAAATTTGAATCTAAAATAATTAGGCAACGATATAGAAACTTTCACAGTTGACATCACAAATTTATCTTAAAGAATCACTGAGAACCGGGAAGCACTAGATGAGTGGCGGTACAGAAAGTTCATGTCACTCAGTGAGTGTTTATAGTCTTTAAAATCATTAGAATTGGCATCCAATAATTTATAGATTTAATTGTAGTTGATGTTACAGTTACCGTATATAATAGATCTCGGTATGAAATTGGAGGCATACTCTGAGCTACTAGTGATAGGTGGAGGGTGAGAGTAAAACTCTAATCTACAATTTACCACAGTGTAGTGTAGTGCTAAACATGTAATTCATACACAGTTTAGTGGCCAGATGGAAACAAATAATACTTTGGACCTTCAACTGATAGCGGTATCAATTAATAGAATATTTTGAAGAGTCTATATGAGGAATAGTCAGTTCAAATTCCATAGTAGTAGAGATGATAGAAGCATTAGCAGTTCAAAATTGTTTACAATCGCTCAGATGCATCCATGCATTGTCTTCTCTCAAATTGTGCTTTACTGAACCCCTGACCAACTTTCTTCTGTTTCCAATCATATCCTCGAACTCTAGTCTTCTTCATTACTGCAATGGCACAGGTGCATTCATTCTTTGTGTTCTCTCAAATCCTAAACTTCTGAGTTCTTCATCACCTTTATCTTTCTCTTTCTAAATTTAATAAACTAGATTATACTTCTTGAATAACATGTTCGAACCCTAATCTCTTCGATTACTGCTAATACTTCTACTACCTCTACTACTTTGTGATTTGAAGTGATAATTTGATCTCTGTGTGCAAATGTGGTATGGCAACCTGAACTGATGTACATACAGGTACGAAGTTCTACGTCGTAGCTGACTGATAAGCATAATTCAGAAGATTAGAATTGGAGAGAAGACAATGAATGAATACATCTGAGCCATTATAAACGATTTTGAGTCATGTCACTCAAGCTCTCTAACCACTTGCGGACCCCAACCAACTAGTCTACATCTACTAACATGACTCAGTACAACTGCCAGTGATTTTACAAATTTTTAGCACGTTTTGGTTTGTCAGCGCTCTAGCTTTCCTCCAACCTATCCCCCTATAGCACAAAACATCACTTGTCAAGGAAGTCGGTCGTTTGGCACACCTAACACATTGTCCCAACCTCCTCAAATATTACAATCAAGCTTATTTTATAACTTATTCAACCACTGGCAATAGCAATACTACTATTTAAAAAATAGCGACTCAAAAAAAACAAACAAACAGACGAACTAAAACTTGGTTCACTGAAACATGAGACATGAATTTCATTTTGACACACACACACACTCTCACTCACTTTCAAATGAAACTCATAAAGAAGGAGAAAAACGAACGGAACTATAACACGAACTACTACCACTACTACTACTACTACTAATATTACTACTACTGATATAAAAAGAAATCAATCTATTTCGATCACAACTAACCAACATGTATCATGTTGAACAACATCACTAACAACAAAACACAAACAGAAATTACTATTCAAGTTATAACTGGTGAATATGTCATTTTAAGCATTTTAAGCGAACGTCTAAGAGACCATAAGCAGAGACATGATATAGGTAAATAATAAACAAATAAATTGAAAGAAAGAAACAATGTAAACATGTAAACAGTATACTTTATATAAAATAATTCGACTAATTATTAATTAAGGTTTTATTTTTCATCAATAATAACAAACTGGTGTGCCATACAGTTTCTCACTTACATGTAAAGATGCATGTATAGGTCTGACACAGATGATGATACACAGGTTTAATGAAAAAAAAAAAGAAGTGATCTAGTCAATTTTACTTGTTCATCGTAAGTAAGTAAGTAAGAAAGTAAATAAGAAAGTTTAAATGATATGATGATCACCACTATATATATTTTTTTGCTTGTATTTAACCTAGAATGTCTGTAGTGGTAGTAGTAGTAGTAGTAGTAGTAGTAGTAGTAGTAAGTAGAAAATACAACAGATGATTCAGTGGTGTTGAACTTAGTTAAAAAAACATTAACGGATGAGAAAAAAATGATAGATAAGGGTGAAAGATACTTGAGAATAGAAAAGTTTCGGTTATTTTTGTACAATCGAGTGTAACAGATCAACAATGCACGATGCAGATACAATTGAATGAAACGCCACCTGACGCCTCTCAAGGTTACTGACGGTCCCAAGTCTGAATAAATGAGGAGAGTTGGTCATGATTGGGGTTAGCGACCTCAACATGTAGAAATCCAACTGGTTCAAAAAAAAGCTAACCAGAAAAATAATCCGCTGGTTGGCGACCTATGCTCTATTAGGGGTAACAGGCGTAAGTAAGTGTAATTCAATGAAAGCTACCTGTCACCACTTGTTTCAGAAGTTACATTAGTGTTATGACTAACTGTTGAAAAATAAATCGAAAACCGGTAAAATGATGATGATGATGCGTGCGGCCACCGAGATTTGAACGTGTTATGTGATGACCTCCGCTCCCTAACCCCGGCTGTCAACGGTATGCAGTTATCCTTTAGGATATTTCTAAACGATAATATCAAGTGAATTTTTTGATTGTGGCTGCTCCCAAATACAGTGAGTGGCGTAAGGTACGAAGTTCTACGTTTTAGCTGACTGACTGACGCACATTCAAGTAGAGGACTCTTGCAGGTTGACATATGAGTTGATAGGCAATAAGTTTGATCACCTGATACATTTAGTGATTGAGTAATCGACACGAAACTCATATTATCTAATCAATCATGATGTTGGATAATGGTTTAAGTTCATGTCTATTCATCTACTGTTTACCAGTTGTCTGTCAATAAAATACCAACTTATCCCAATAAATCCATCTTGTAAACAGTTATCATTCAGTCACACAACATGGTATAATATCATTCATTACATTGAAGGTCATCATTATTTATCGATTTTAGAATCTTATTCATTGATTATTCTAACAATGGAAACTCGATATTGAATCCATAAGACACACGAAACCGGCTTTCACACATAACAGCATGAATATATGTTTGCTTTGATTTCCCTTATTTTTTCCGTAGTGGTGAATTACTGTCTTTATGTCTACCACAAAATGCAATGATGAATATGGATGGGCGAACACACACACGCACGCACACGCACACGCACACACACATATACACCGTAATCAATCAATGACAAAGATGAGGGGAAAAGGAAATCTTATCATGAACTGATGAAATAAATAAAACTAATAAATGTTTATAGACAAAGTAGATAGAGAGAAAAGAAAAAGATTAAACACTTGACAGAGTAGTAGTGTAAAGAGGAAAAAAAAACTAATTATAAACAGAATGTGATGAATGATAAAAAAAAAACAAGAGATATTTGTATATTTGGTGGTCTAATCTAACAATGATTGATTCATGATTTCAGTAATATATAAGAATGAAATTGAAGAAAGAATTCAACATAAAGGAATGATTGAATGGCACATTTGTCTTAATGTGATTAGGAGTTTGAATTTTCTCGTTATTGAATAGTTAAGGCTGTACATTCAACAAAAGAATATCAGACAATAAATATGGCTTTTGATCACAAGTTTTAGTATATATAAAGGGATTTTGGCTGACAGTAACATCCAGAGGTGAGTGTCAGTTGGATGAAATTACATCTTAGTGTTAAATGTTCACAACGAGAGTCCGATAATCAGCACCTGTCAACTTTAACGACAACA